TATATATATATATATATGCTTGATATAAAATAATTAATATGATCTATAAAAATCTTGTTTAATAACTATTTTAATCTAGTTTATATATTTTTGTTACAGGACAATTAATGTAATAATGTATAATCATGTTTCTTTTTTCTTTTAGTATAGTTAAAAAGAAAAAAAAAGTATATGTAGAGGATATTCTTCTTGCAAAGTATACTTTGAATGTGGACAGAATTTAAATGCAGTTTGAAGATGATGCTGCTTTAGTCAAATTCTAATAGAACAACGTTAAAAAAAAAATTAAGAATCATCTCTTTTTTATTTTCTTTACAACTATACAAAGAATTTTTATAATGGTTTTTTATTATTTTTAATGGATTATTTTATTTTTATCAAACAAAAATATTTTAATAAAATACAAATTAATAATCATACAACTTCTCTAACCAAAATGTAATCGTGTATTAATTTCTCTAAACTAAATCTAATTTTAATTTTTTTACCAAATATTATTTGATTATATATTTTAATAGTATATAATGTAATTTTTTATTTTTAATGTTTATTTCTATATATTCAAAATATCCTATAAAATAAATTATTTATTTTTATATAACAAATAAAATTATATAAAACAATAGACAATAATGTATATATATATAATTAATAAATACATATAATTAAAATTAATATTAATATAAACATTGAATTTATTATAAGAAAATTTGTTATTTCCTATTAAGAAAATATTTGTGGTTAGTATTCAAATTAAGTGGGAAAATACAATTTTTCCCACAAATTTTCCGCGACCAAAAAAAAGGTTTGTCAGAAACTATTTTACTTGTCCATTTCAAGATATTTTTTTTTAAATATTTATGAAAAAATTTCTATAGATTTATTAATGGAAAAATTTTCATGGATTTATTCATGGAAAAATTCGCACTGTCTTATTCATCGAAAATTTCCTATATGCTAATACATGAAAAACTTTCTAGTATAAGTTTATGGGAAATTTCTATTAACCAGTTTACGGAAAATTTCTCAAAGATATTTTCCACCCAAAAATTTTTAGGAAATGATTATTTTTATTTTTAGCATTATTTTATTGTAGTTTAAAATTATAACTTGTTTTTAATGTTTTTTATTCAGTTTCTATAATTTAAATAATGAAACTTATTAAACAGTAAAAAAAATTCAATATTTTTTTTATTGAGTTTCTATGATGAAACTTGCTAAACATTAAAAATTTAAAAATAAGAGATACATCAACCATGGTTAACTTTTTAGTATTGTATCAACTAATATCCAACAAATTCTTTATATAATCTCTCATATCTATGTCTGTAGTTAACCATCATTTCAAGCTCCCATAAACATCTTTGAGAGTTTATGAAATACTTTTGAGTTAAAAAATTTCTTAATTTAGTTTTTTTCATCATTTCTCCATCTTAGTCTCTATATGAGAAAAGAACAAATAGTTTAATAAAATATAATATTTTGGTATTCTTATAACATGAAATAAATGTCACTAAATTATTATTTTAGATTAAATAGAAAATACCTTAAATAATTGGAAAAATATTTCTCTATCCTTCTTTAAAATTGAACCCATGTAAGTCAAGGTTATTGTGATAGCATTTGTTGTAATTTTGGGTTGATGAAACCTAATATAATGAAAACTTGATATATAAAAGTGAAAAAATAATTAACATTTTAAAGAATACATACCCTGTACTAATTGGTTAAATTATAGGAAGATCATCTGGTAAATGTCTTAATCATCTATGGTTTTAAACATATGTCCAACATCATCCAAAAGGAACACCATTAATTGTAAGCTTCACTTTCAATTTTTATTTATTAAGTTCTCTTTTGTACTGTACATCTAAAAAATGAATTAAGTTGTATAATTTGAATAAATTTTATTAAATTTTCTAAGTTTTTATATATTTTAATTATTAATTACTATATATTAAAATTACATATAATATTAAAATTATATTTTTTTTATAAAATTTGAAAGTAATAAAAAATAATTATAATTAATTTAGTCTAAAAATTTAAAATAATAATTAAAAATTATATTATTTTTAATTGTATAATTTAACTAAATAATACATTTAATATTTTTATAAGGAATTAAATTAAATTTTTATTTTTCATATATTATGAACAAAATATTAAATATTAAATATTTTTATAAAATAAATTAACATATTAAAATAATTAATAAATATTTAATAAATTTTTGGTCATTTATGACACAAAATAATTTTAGAAATAAATTATTAATAATATATATTATTTATAGTTTGAATGTATATATTTTATATTTAATCAATAAAATTTAACATTAATTTTATAATTAATTTATAAAAATTAATATATTTAAATACAAGTTGACTTGTATTTCGAAGTGATTTATGAAAAAAAAAATTTCATAGAAAATTTGTGATGAAACTCACTATACTCCTTACTAACTTTAAATTTAATATTTGCACAAAATTTTGATAAGATTGTTATAATATAGTAATGATAGTATACTACTCGATATAGTTAGAAAATAATTTTATAAAAATAATATAATTAATTTTTTTTCAATTGCTCTATTGCTTGGGATTTGTGACAAAATATTTCTAAGCTAAATTATTTTTTTATTTGTTAGTAAAATCAAAATCACTAAACACATTTAATAGGGGTGAATTGAATTTGTAAAATCTTTTTTAAATCTAATCAATTAATTGAATTTTTTTTTTATCATCAACTTGAAAAATAGTTTGAAATGATTTAAAATTTCAAAAATACCAAAATAAATAAAGAGAGAAAGATGAGAACACAACTATTTTACAATAGTTTAGATTAGCCAATCAATTGCACCTTTGGATCTTATTTTCTCAAAATTTAATGATTCCACTAAAACTTTTTTTTACATAGTTTCTCATTATGTATATTATTTTAAAGAGTTAAAATTTGTTACAACTGATTTAGATAATCGATTAAAAAAAATCTAATTGACGATTTGTGTGTAGTAATAGACTCAAAGTAAGCAATATAATCTATTAGTACCAACATAATACATTATCAATGCATGTTAACAATATAATAAATTATTAGCGTATAATATCAAAATATGAATTTGAGTCATAAGGGTTAATATAATCGATTATTACATGTTTAATGGATTAATCTTTAACATAATTTGATGAGTTGTTTTACCTATTTACTTTTTTTTTTAATTTTAAATAACGATTAAATAATTTGACTTTAATAATAACTACTCACACACAACTACCTCGATATTTGTAGGATATCATACAAAATAATTCCTCAACAATTCTTCCTCCTTTATTAATGAAGTTAAATGATGAAATAACTAGAAATATATTAATTTTTTCATTATTTTGTTATGATTAACTACATTTTTTTTATAAACAAAATTTTCATATATTATGTTAGTTAATTACTTAACAAATTTTATTATATTATGTAAATATACTTAATAATTTTCATATAAAAGTTCAAATCACAAGAAAATACTTGTATAAACTGTTAGGATCAAGCGCTTACACTAGGTCAACAACTATAGTCATTAGTCGACCGCAACTCTTTTTATTTAAGAGTAACACTCCAAGCGCCACAATTCAATTGTGACTCGGTCCACCCGACCTCCGCCACGGGACAATTGATACTACCTGCAACATAACCTATAAAATTTTATATAAATACTAGTCATGTAAATACAAGGATCATATCTAGCTTGCAATAAAAATAAAATTCAAAAGCACCAACAACAATAAATTAAATAATCTAAACAAAAATTATTCCAAAATATGTTTATTCTATAGCATGAGGAAGAAACCATAAAAGTATTGCTATGAAAAATTTTGAATGAAATCTAGAAAAAAAAAAAAAATCAGATGTGGTTTTATTCATATTTAAATAAGATAAATCATGCAACGCTAATAGAAGGTTGGACCAAGATTTTTGTTGTTGCTAGGCCCAAACTCGAAAAACAAAAAATCTCTGGGCTGCAGCACTTCTTTGAATGGGCTGGATTTATTGACCCAGTCCTAGTGAAGTAGAAGAGGTGTTTCTTCTACACCAAATATCAACTTTCTGCACTCAAGAATTTCTTGAATCATTTCATCCATTTTCGGAATAAAATTTTTGGATCATAACAAGTTATTCCAAAAATAATACACGCATTGTGATTGAAATTTTAAGATTATCCTATGTTTCATAAGAAAAATTATGCTTAGAATAAATAATTAAAAGATTTTTCTCTTTTGTTGTCATGATTTTTTTTTAAATTCTTAGACAATTAAGTTAATATATATATATATATATATATATATATATATATATATATTATTGAAATTATTTTTTTCACATTATAAAATCTAAAAACTTAAGATAATTAAATTCTTATAAAAAAAATTCTATATACTATTATTTACCATCTGGTTCAATTTATCTTCCCCTATTTATTGAATTCATTCCCCCTTAATCACTAATAAACTAATTTTTAAGTTCAAAATTTCAAATTAATGAATCAATAATTAAATTCAAATCATTTCAAAGTTTATAATTTATGATAAGTCTTAATATTAGGATTAGTGGTAGAGTAAACTTCCCTTATCTAAACTAGTTCAAAATCCAAAAAAGAGGATAAGAATAAAAAAAATAACAAGATTATATTAACAATTGTTATGAATTGCAAATGTAATGCTTAAATTAACAACTAATGGACTGTTCAATTATTTATCTAACAAAACAATAATTCTTTTACCATTATTACCAATATTCAGAGTTACATTATAAAAAACTAAATGAAGAAAAAAAAATCTTAATACTAACCCAAATAGATAATTCAACATTATTTAATGTTTAATAAAATAAATGAATAAATAAATAAAATTGAGTATTGACATTTTGTACATCATCCATATCTATTAACAGCATATAATACATTGATTCATTCATAAGTTTAACTCTAAGCTTTTATTTAATGTGTTCTAACTGAAGTGAACATTGAGACCAAACATGGGTATTCCAAATCCGACACTTTTAATCTTAGGCAAATTCTTAAAATCTGTCATGTTAACACCAATCTTAATATTATCAAAGAAAGAAGGTTTCTCTCTGGGTAGAGGGGCAGGGTAGGAAATGACCTCAAATTTCTCTTCCACTAAGGATGTGACACGTGCACTCCATTTCTTGGCCCTTTTGCTTAGAGAAAGACGAGACACCAAATTTGGACAACACCCTCTTATGCACGTGTTCTTGTTGGCTTCATCTTTGAAGAACTCCTCCAACTCTTTTTCTGTGGCTGCAACCTTGCAAAGCCATTCTTCAACATTTAGAACAATTTGGCGTCCATTTTTAGTATCTTCATCCACAATGTCTTGTATCCTATTTTTCTTAGCTTCTAACCCTCGAAGTTCGGTCTTAAGTTTGATGATGTTTTTTTTGTAGTTCACTACAAACCCTAACTCTCTATTCATTGGTATTAGTATTGATTGTCCAACTTGTGTTGCAACCCCAGTTGCAAAGCCCATGCATAATTCCATTTTCCTTTCCACAGATTCCTAATCTATCATAAAATAAAACCATTCTTACATAGAGAAAAATCACAAAAATTTAATGAATTTTTTGCAACTTATTTAACAACTCTCTAATTTTATAATTTCTAATCAAATTTAAGCATGATAGTGTTAAGCACACTCATTTTCTAACAAAACACAACCTCACAAAACTAGAGTTAATAATAAACATTCCCCCTTTTTACATTAAACACAAATTATAAACCATGGTTGTTTTATTTGAACTAAAATACTTATTAATAATATATATTGAGATGAGTAATTAATATTTATATTAATCAAATTTACAGATTTTTTTTTAATAGAAACTATAATAAGAAGAACAAGCTGGATTATTAGTTTACCTTAATTTAAGAAATTAAAGGATTAATTGTGTATTTAGTTTTTCATCTTTTAAAGAGTTCAGTTTATATATATATATATATATATATATATATATATATATATATATATATATATATATATATATATTTTAAAGTAAATCAAAATTATTCTTCATTTATGTAAATTTAAAATTAACTTTGTTTATTATTTAAATATGTTTATGATTTAAAATTAAAAATAATATATTTTTTAAAGAAATATTCAATAATTTTTTAATGATAATTATATTTAGAGTGATAAAATAAGTTAGTGACTGTCGTAAAAGAAAAAAAAAGATTAATACGAAATTAGGATAAGATATAAATCTATTTTGTTAAATAATAGATAAATGAGTAAGACTATAATTTTGTATTTAATATTTCTTTTATTAATTTATATATATTTTTTTTAAATATACTTAAATACATAAATTTTTAAGTTTTTATTTATTAATTAGTATTTTTATGAGATAAATTGAGATAATTAATATTTTTATGTTAAACTATTTTATAATAGTTAATAATTTAAGTTTAGTTTATAAATATTTATGAATTAAATAAAATTATTATTATTATATATTTATATATTAAAAAACATAAGTAAAAATTATAATTTAACCAAGACTTACCTCGGACTAAATCAAATAATTATATCTTATTAACTACAACAAGTGGAAAAAGAGTATGGGATCTAAAAATAGTAAAAACGAAAGTTTAAAGAAAGAACTTACAAGTGAATTTTCCAAGGCAGAAAAAATAGGAACCTAGCCAACAATTTTATTTGCTTTGCTTGGACAAATGACCCTGTTAAAGCTTAATGGCAGAATAATGGAATTAGATAGAAACATGAGCTTATATATATAGGGTTGAAAATGGTTTAAAGAATATAAAATAAAAATTATTTAATTTCCTAAAGAGGCCGGTTTGAACTCTCCAATGTCCTTCATTTGTCATATCTCAAGCTATAAAATTGTTCAACATGAAGTAAAACTACTAACTTATATTATTTTATAGTATGTCTCATATTTTCATTTGTTTTGTGCCTTTGTCTCCTAATTCTATCCCTTTCACTTGTCGCAATACAAGAAACAAAGTACGAAATTTCGTAGCTCAATTGTCTTTTCCTCCTATCATTAATTATTATATTTCATTTTTAAGTGAAAGTTTGTTTTGGTTCACATGGTGACGCCTTATTTACCCTATATTGTTTTACTCATTATCATCTAACTCTAATCATACTTTTCGAAGCAAGAATAAAAAAATATAGAACAATAGAATATTGTACTTATTTCTTCATGAGTATTTGTGAAGGGAGGATTCATATTTAGCATTAGTTTTGATAATTTGTTTAATAAGTGACCGAGTCGATTACAATATAACACAACTTATGTATGATAAACTGTGATTTGTTGTCTCGATTTTTTTTTTTAATAAATTTTGTTTAAAAGAAAATTCTCAATAATAAAATATGAGTTAATTATATAAAAAATATGATAATATTTTCAAATTTTAAAATATTAAGATATAGATTATCTTTTCATTTATAAGTTGTTATTTGACATTATTATTTTTATTAGGCTCTAATATTATTTTTAGATATCTTGAACGATAAATAATCAGAAAATTTAGAGTAATGATATATGACTCAACCATGTAAAAAGAAATATAATATTATATTAAATATAAAATCTTAAAAAATTAAATTATAAGTTTTTCTCATTTATAAAATAAATTACTCAATATATAAATTACTCAATTTCTATTGAACTCTGGATATTTCTTAAGAGTTAATAATAGAAATTTTTTTAATAATAAGATATAAGTCAATTATATATAATCTTTTTTCATTTAGGCTTAATTTTGAAATGGACAAAATAGGTGCAACCTCATCTTCTAATAAAACTTGCAAGGACAAGTTTTTGTTTCAAGTCATTTTGTTTTACGTGAAAACATGAAAGGGTTCATTCAGTTTGAGCTTAACGAACTACCCATCTTCTTTCTAACCTTTTGTTATGTTATTTACACTGTCCCATTTGCTAAATGCACCCTTCTTTGTTTAGTTATGTATATTATAAAAATACCCTTTCTACGTGAAAAAAATATCCTTTTTCCATGTGTGAAATCTTTTCTTTGCCATATGTATGCAAGTTTTGTAAGGAATAGAGAATGAGAGAATAATAATCTTTTATTTATTTTTCATTATCTTATGGAGGAAACTTAACTGTAAGATAGAAATTACAATTTGATGTTTATTCAAAGATGATTTTGTAATTTACATTAATATTTATGATTTTAACCATTAAATGTAATGATTATTAAACGTACTTGTTTCTATATTTATAAATTTGATCTCTCACCATCTTATATTTTTCATATTTATTTATCGTTTATTAATAATATATTATGTGTCCCTCTTAAGATCAATGATCAAAATCCATACTATCAGTGTCCATCATGTATTTTTTTGATGATAAAATGGATTTCATTTTCAACTACTAGAAAGTGAGAAAACTTTCTAGAAAAAGATGATATTTGTATGACCAATTTGAAAGCACAAGTGATGGTTCCAAAAGGATCTAGAGGCAATGGACTCTATCCTTTAACCCTATACTAGCACCTTCGTAAAACTTAATATGCCTTGATTTAATGATCAAAGTCGTGGATCTTTATAATCAAATAATTTTTTTTTTACTATCATAAGATCCTAAAAGTTCAAAGGCTTCAAATGAGTTCATTTTCTATGGAAGGAGAAGCTCAATTGATTCCAATGGATGGGACAATGATCTAATCTCAACTTGGTAAAATTTTCTCCTAATGTTAGAGGTTTATTTCATGTCATCCCATTACGAGGATTCAATAGGAGATGTTGAAATTTAGTGTTGGAGATCAACACTATCAATTAGAATAATTCAATTATAACAGAATTTAATGATAATATAATCAGTTTTATTTCGTTATTTATGCACAGTTATGTATAGCATTTATAGGGAGAATATTTCCTTGATTTTCATAGATAGATTAGTGTATAGGTTTATTACCTTCTATTCTATTTATACCTCCTTTGTATATTTTCCAAAATAAAAAAATATACAAATTCGCATGGTATCAGGGTTCGATCTGGACCATCCCTAACCTAGCGCAGCCAACCATGAAAGAGAATAAGACGGGAGGTTCGACCACCAGTTTGGTTGAAGGACCTGCTCTTCCTATCACTAGTCACAAATTAAATGACCAAAATGGGTGTGTTTAGTTAAAATTCTCCTTCAAGGCAAAAGGAAGGAAGGTTACATCACCGGAGACTCCACATGTCTAATAGAGGATGACCCTAACCTCAACAAATGACAACTAGAAAACAGTTTAGTCATGTCATGGTTACTCAACACCATGACCAATAAAATTGGGGAGAATTTCATGTACTATCACACTGCCAATAAGATGTGGAATGCAGTGAAGGAAACCTACTCAAATGTGGACAATAGTTTGCAGTATTTGAAATTAAGAGCATACTCCATGAACTGCGACAAGGTGATTTCTCAGTCACCGAGTATTTTAATACACTCAGCTGGCATTGGCAGTAACTAGACATATATGAAAACATTTAATGGAGTTGTGTCAAGGATAAGAAGAAGTATACAAAATTGGTGGAGAAAGATAGAGCTACAAGTTCCTATTGAGGCTGAACACAAAACTTGATGAAGTTCGAGGGAGAATGCTTGGAACCAAACCTCTTAAAACAATCCGGGAAGTATTTGCGGAAGTGAGAAAGGAGGAGAGCAAGAGGAAAGTAATGCTTGGAAAGTCAAGTGCAGTCCCACCCATTGAAGGCACAACAATGATAACAAGAAAAAACCAATTTCGTCCATTTAAAAATAAAAATCGGCCCTAGTGCGATCATTGCAATAAATTGAGACACACTAAGGATACCTGCTGGATTATTCATGGTAAGCCTTCAGAGAAAAAAAGACAAAAAAACTTGGACAGTAGAGGCAACATAGTAGGGGTAAATTTTAATCCATCTCTATTAAGCAAGGAGCAAATGGAAGCACTACAGAAAATTATCTAGCAAATAATTAATACAACTGCAGTAACACAAAAAAAGGTAATTTCTTACATGCTCTAAAATCAAGTCATGAATCATGTTGGGATAAAGATATTTGATTAGCTAAATATTGTATAATCAGAATTTCCTTTATTTAATCCTGATTTGTTGAAGTAAAATAATATAAGATCATAGTATCTATATAAAAAAATAATATGAATAAAAATTATAGGATGAATTCTATGTTTTTCAATTTGGTACTAGAGCTTATAATTTTTTTCTTTTTCTTTCTAAATCCTTGGAGATCTTAATTGGAGAGATGACGGAAAAAATAATTCCAATGGTTGTTCAATCTGAAGGTGTCTTCAACGTAGGCATCATCCTAAATAAATTTAATTATGACGTATGATCACAACTAATGGAGATGCACATTGCAAAGAGGGAAAAATTGTCCTACATCCATGGGAAGGTGAAACCTCCAACAGAGAACGATGAGGGATATGAAAAATGGTATGCTGAAAACCAAAAAGTGAAAAAATGGCTATTGATGTCCATGAAGCCAGAAA